AAAAAAAAAAAAACCTAGCCCTGACAGTAGGTGGAGGATGCATTTGTGAAGGAGGAATGGACACAGGGAGAGTGCTAGGAGTCTCCTGCAATACTGAAGAGTTCTGCCTAGGGCAGATGGAACACACAAGAGGAAGAGTTGAGCCAAGAGATTTCAGGGCAGAACACAGAGAATTGTTTGACCCACTGAACATGGGAAGTGGGGACAGGAAGGGAGGAGAAGAATTTAAAGACAACTCCAAAGTTTCTCACTTGGCTGACTAATATATAGTGATGCCAAGCAATAGAAGAATAGTAAATTTGGGGGAGGAATAGCTTTTAGATGAGGATAAAACAATAAGGAGAAGGTTTAGATGTGCTTTGCTTGAAATGCCTGTGGTAGATTGTATCACTGGTGCCAAATATTCCCATGCCCCTCCCTGGGGGAGGATTATACATCCCTACCCAATTAACTCAGAAGTGGCCATGTAACTTCCTTTGGCTAATAAAATGTGATGTGAAATGTGCTACTTCTGGGCAGAAGCTTTAACAGCCAGCATATGGCTTGTCATGTATCTTTTTCCCCTCTACTACAATGACTGGTGAAGTTCCAGACAGATGCTTCTTCTCTGTCAGCCTAGGTTCCAAAGGGAGGACAGTGAGGTCCCAGCCGTAGCAGTGCCACAATGAATGTGTAATGTGAACAAGAAATAAATCTTAGCAAGCCACTAAGACTTTGGAGTCTTTTGTTACCACAGCACAGCCTAGCCTATCTTGCCTGATACAATGCCTACAGAGCATCTAAGTAAACTGGTAGACAGTTAGAAGTGCAGATCAGGAGCTGCATAGAAAATCTGGGGCTGGAAATACAGATTTAGGAATCTATAAGCAAGTAAGTGAATCTGGAAAAGTAGGTGAGACTAAGGGAGTTGAAATTGAGAAGAGAAGAGAGAAATATGAAATGCCAGGAAGCATCAATGTTTAATGGACAGAGGAAGAAGAGGAGTCAAAGAAAGCCTAATTACAGAGGTAGGTAGTGAGCCTGGAAAATCATATTGCTAAGGCCAAAGAAAGCAAACATCCATAAGTGCTTCAAAGAGGTCAGTGTGGAAATTTGACAAGATATCGCTGGATTCAAAATGAGCAAGTCATTGAGAGAACGACATCAGTGGAGTCAGTGAAATAAAAGTCAGGCAACAGAGAACTGAAGTATTATGTGAGAAGATACAAAAAGAAAATCAAGTCTTTTTTTCCTATAAGTTTGGTCATGAAAGGGAGGAAAGAAAAAATGGCAGGTAGATTGAGGGAGAAGGGAAGTTTTGAGGAAGACTGAGGAAGAGTTGAGAAACTTTAAAAGGTGAGGAGAGGGAAGCAACGGCATGGGGAAAACTGAAATTTTGAAAAAAAAAAGGATAATTGATGAAGTGAGGCTCTAAAGAAGGCAGAAAGCATTAAAAACAAAAGCATAGGTGGAGGGAAAGAAAGCATAGGTGGAGAGATTAGCCTCTGAGATTCAAGGAAGAAAATAAGAAAACACAGATTTAGCTAAATTTGAAAGTAAAGGGGAGGAAGCTGAGAAAATTCATGCCTTCTCTATTTTGTTTTCTGGAGGAAACAGAAGGTTATTCTATTGTTGGCAATGTAAATTGTTGGCAACGAATGCTTCATGGATGGGGTTGGGGACTTGAGAAGAGTATAAAGGTTTAGAACAGATGTTATGGGGAATACGATAAATGAAAAGAAATTGCAGCATCAAAGGCCTGGATGAGATTTGCTGTCAAGAACTTGTATTATGGTTCATTATTAAATAAATGACTTTTTTCCTCAGCAACGTCAATCAGCCTAAGACTAGCAGCAAAAGAAATGGGCAAGTACACTAATTCAGAGTTGGAGACTGGCAAGAGGCATGTTTAGAGAACTGAAGATGCTGGTGTCAGGGGTGCAAAGTAGACCAAGGATTGGGACTGTCAATCTTCAAAGGTCAGGAGTGACACTGGATGGTCAAGAACAAAGCTATGAGATAGCTTGGGGGTTTAGAAAGAGAGTCCAGGTCCTAAAGTTACATGAATAGCAAGTCAACAGCGGGATGGAGTGTGACTATGCAGTTAAGGAGGGGATGGCAGGATGTTTTGTGCCCAGAGCTCGGTTAAGAGCTCAGAGAATTTGAATTAGCAGAATTTAAGAAGTATTACCAAGTCAGAGTTTGGCAATTTGGAAGACAGTATTTTGAATCTGAGCTGATTGGTGGACCTGTGGCCCAAGGGTAAAACCTTAGTTCTCTAATGATTCAGAAAACAAGAAGAAACAGCTCAGCCTTGGATTAGAGACAGAAACTCTAATGTGGGAGCATGTGGGACTTCCCTGGTGGTGCAGTGGTTAAGAATCTGCCTGCCAATGCAGGGGACACAGGTTTGAGCCCTAGTCCAGGAAGATCCCACTTGCTGCGGAGCAACTAAGCCTGTGCGCAACAACTACTGAAGTCCGCGCACCTATACCTCGTGTTCTGCAACAAGAGAAGCCACTGCAATGAGAAGCCCGCGCACTGCCACGAAGAGTAGCCCCCGCTCACCGCAACTAGAGAAAGCCCGCGTGCAGCAACAAAGACCCAACGCAGCCAAAAAGTAATTAATTAATTAATTAAAAAGAAAAATCTAATCCTTAAAAAAATAAACTAAGCGTGTACTAGAAAACAGTGGGAGTGACCCACAAGACGACAAGATCAGGAAACAGAAAGAACTGGTCTCTCTGGGAGTGGATCAGGGAGGGCCTGAAAAAGTTGAAGTAATGTCATAGAAAAGATCATAGAAGTAAAGTCATCCAACACTGTGTACCTAAAATTTACCTAGTTTACACATTAATATCAGATTATAAAAAGGTTACACAAAATGCCTTTTATCAAATGCTGGAAATTGTACCCAAAATTAACATTCATTTACTAAGTTAATCCTTAACAACAACCTTGTGAAATAGGTATTGTTCTTACCACACTTTACAGTTAGAACATTATGGCTTAGAGAAGTTAACCTGCCCATGGTTAGTAAACGTGACATCACAGGCATTCAAAGTATGTACCCTAAGAATCCCCTGCACTGATGTAAAATCATTTGGAAGAGAAATTTTCTTTATACCCTAGAACCATGCCTTAGGCGCTGGTAGCAAAAAATAGCAAATGGCAATAAAGTCCAAGCAGTAAACCTTCCCTTTGGAGGTTTCCTGTATCACCATAGTGTACATAGCTTTTTTTAACTTCTCCCTCTAAAAACTCTAGAAACCCGTATTGCTGTCACATAAGAGAAATATTCAGTCTTGAAACCTGTATCATTCAAAATTGCTCATCTAAGCTCAATTGGAGTTAGCATGCTTATTAAATTATTATTAGGCACTTCTGCTTTTAAAAAAAAAAAACTATATGTATGCCTACTCAAAAACACATTCACAGGACTTCCCTGGTGGTCCAGTCAGTAAGACTCTGCGCTCCCAATGCAGGGGGGCTGGGTTCAATCCCTGGACAGTGAACTAGATCCTGCATGCATGTGCAACTAAGAGTTTGCATGCTGCAATGAAGATCCTGCATGCCGCAACAAAGACCCAGCACAGCCAAAATAAATAAATAAATATTTTAAAAAAACCGAAAACATAGTCACTTGCATCAGATAATAAAGCTTATCCTATGTGTTCTTACCCTCTCTGTTTTATCTGCACAGAAGAGTCGTGTGTGATGTCTTTTCTGCACCACAATATAGGTTATTCCTGGCCGGTAATCTTCTTCCAAACTAATACATGCCTTTCGAATTGCTATTAGTTCTGGCCAAGCTACCTAGGAGTTAGAAATAAAATGATGTATAATTGAGAACTTGCCAATCTCTCAGGCATCTCTCAGATCTGATTTACTTGGAGTGGCAGATGGGAGGAAACTCCATCAGATACCTAGAAGCCCCAGAAGGCAACTATGGGATTAAGAGAGTACCTGTTTCATCTGTCCCTCGGATACCCCTCCACGGTAATAGATGATCCGAGTGGGTTTGAAGCGTGTGGATTTGTAGAACTGGATCAGCAGCTCTCGAACCATGTTAGTAAGGTCCTGGATTACCTCCTGACTATAGAGGAGCTCCTGGGAGATCTCCTGGCGGGACGTCTGCACCCGAACAGTGGCACAGTACCGGCTGGGGTGGCCGTCCATACTGCCAACGACAGCAGCAATGGAAGGCTTCTTCCCATCCCCTGCTGGGGGGTGCGTGACATCCGCTCCCAGGAAGATGACAGGCTGCTGGAACACGGAGGGCCTGCTCAGATTTAAGGAGACATTGCCACTCAGACATATGGATGAAAATGTTTTTGTTTAGCAAGATCACCAGACATAATCACAGGCATAATCTTATGAGAATAAAGACGTGCCCATTGGGAGAGAACTCTAATGCCCACTGAGTATCTGTGCCACCCAGTACAATGAATCTGAACTGACTAAAGAAGACAACATGGTTCTTCTGCAATAGTGGGAAGGGTAGAGTCAAGAGGAGGACCCAACCCAAATTTAACAAAATCTCTATGTGCAAAGGCAAAACTTTCCCAGAACAGGCTTTCTTGGGATCCTGGGATTTCTACAATGGATACTGAATTGCACAATGTACATGGAACTGGGACAAACCCCCCAATATATGAGACTTAGGGAAGAGAATAAAGTCTATCTCCTTCCCTATTTTATTTTCTCCATGTATTTATCACTTTTACCACATATTTTACTTATTTATTTTATTTATTGTATACACACACACACACACACACACACACACACGAATGTAAGCTCCATGAAGGCAGGAATTTTGTTTTGCTTTGTCTTGTTCACTGCTGTATCCCTAGTGCCTAAAACACTGCCTTGCTCACAGTTGGCACTCAACTAATATTTGCTAAAATAATGAATTCATTTATTTGGTACTAATTTATCTATGGAATTAAGGAGAAAAATATCATGCATATATTACTTCTCTGGTAAATTCTTTTTTTTTTTTTTTTTCCTGCGGTATGCGGGCCTCTCCCTGTTGTGGCCTCTCCCGTTGCGGAGCACAGGCTCCGATGCGCAGGCTCAGCGGCCATGGCTCAGGGGCCCAGCCGCTCTGTGGCATGTGGGATTTTCCCAGACAGGGGCACGAACCCGTGTCCCCTGTATCGGCAGGCGGACTCTCAACCACTGCGCCACCAAGGAAGCCCGACTTTTAAAGTATATCTAGGAGGCATCCCAAATCTGACAATCTCATGTAATAGGTACTAAAGATGAGGTTCCATGTGGGCAGAGCCTGGGTTGTATTTCTCTCTATATATCATCATACAACATGGGTTTGGCATAGTAGGGTATAAGAGCAAATGTATATACATAAGATACATACACAGAACATAATAACAGCTTACATGTATTATGTACCAACCACTGTGCTAAGGACTTTACACGTATGAATTCATTTAGTCCTCACAACAATTCTATGAGGGTAGTACAATTATTATCTCAGATTTCCAGGTTTAAAAAATGAGATATAAGAGGATAAGGAACTTGCTCAAGATTACACAGTTAGGAAGTGATAAAGCTGGAATCCAAACCCAGGAAGCCTGACAAAAAGGTCTGTACTCTATGCCACTATGCTACATTGTTTGGGGTAAAATTAAATCATGCTTTAGGTTAACTTCCCCCATGGTCTGTATACCTCATCTACCAATGTTGCAGGAAGGATTTATGTACCTAGAAGTTTCATTCAAGGACAAAAATGAGAACTGTGATACAACTGTACAAGAGTAAGGCACTCAAATTGACCTTCTTCTCAAGTATGAAAATGACTAATATCACAGACAAAATTTAACTTCCCAAATAACTTCCACATACAGGATTTCACATAAAAACATCGTAGAGTAGACAAGTCAGATATTATCTCAACAGACAAGGGAACTACAAATTAACAAGGAGCCGCCCAATCTAAGAAATGGGCAAAGGACTGAACAGGCCCATCACAAAAGAGGATGTCCACTTAGCCAATAAACATATGAAAATGTGCTTAACATGATTAGTCATCAGAGGATTGCAAATTAAAACCATCATGAGATACTATTACCCCCGGCCAAAATGGCTAAAATTAAAAGGACTGATACCACCAAGTATTGGCAAGAATATGAGCAACTAGAACTCTCAGTGGAAATATAAATTGGTACAACCACTTTGGAAAACTACAGTAGTCTCCCCTTACTGCAGAGGATGTGTTCCAAGATGCCCAGTGGATGTACCAAATCCTATATCTACTGGTTTTCTTTCCTCTACTAATGGATGGGTAGCATAAACAGCCTAAATACACTGGACAAAGGGATAATTCATGTCCAGGGCTGGATGGAGAGGGAGAGTTAGAGATTTCATTGGACTACGCAGAATGGCATGCAATTTAAAACTTAAGAATTGGGACTTCCCTGGTGGTGCAGTGGTTAAGAATCCACCTGCCAATGCAGGGGACACGGGTTTGAACCCTGGTCTGGGAAGATCCCACATGCCGTGGAGCAACCAAGCCCATGTGCCACAACTACTGAGCCTGCGCTCTAGAGCCCACAAGCCACAGCTACGGAGCCCACGTGCCACAACTACTGAGCCCACGTGCCACAACTACTGAAGCCCGTGCACCTAGACCTCGTGTTCCACAAGAGAAGCCACTGCAATGAGAAGCCCGCACACCACAATGAAGAGTAGCCCCTGCTCGCCGCAACTAGAGAAAGCCCATGCTCAGCAACGAAGACCCAACTCAGCCAAAAATAAATAAATAAATTAATTAATTAAAACTGAAGAATTGTTTATTTATGGAATTTTTCCACTTAATATTTTCGGACAGAGGTTGGCTGCAGGTAACTGAAACCAGGGAAAGTGAAACTGCAGATAAGGGGGGGACTACTGTATTTGATAGTATCTATCAATGCTAAATACATATATTTTCTATAAGTCAGCAATTCCACTCTTGCAAGAGAAAGAGTACTTAATTCCACCAAAAATGTAGAAGACTTGTATAATAAACGTATAAGAATATCTAAAATTTTGTAGTATATTCATAAAATGAAATAATACACAACAAAAAATAAACTTCTACTTAAAATAGCAACATGAATGAATCTCACAGACATGATATTCACCAAAAGAAGACAGACACAAAATACTATATACTGTATGGTTCCATTTATATGAAGTTCAAAAACAGGCAAAACTAGGGAACTCCCTGGCGGGCCAGTGGTTAGGACTCTGACCTTTCACTGCCAAGGGTGCAGGTTCAGTCCCTGGTTGGGGGAACTAAGATCCCACAAGCCGCAGGGTGTGGCCAGAAGAAAAACAGGCAAAACTAATCTATGATGCTGGAAGTCAGAACAGTCAGAACCTTTGGGGGTTATCTATTGGGAAGGGCCACGAGGAAGCCTGATGAGGTGCTGGATGTGTTCTATATTTAACCTGGGTGGTGGTTACATGAGTGCATACATATATAAGAAAAGGTAACCAAGATGTATATTTGAGATTGGTGTGCTTTATTGTAAATTATGTAAGTTAGAGCTTAAGAAACAAATGGAAAAAGAGTTCAGGATCTTACCTTTGATGAGGTACAAGCACGTTGTTAATTCCTCCGAGCTTTGCATTTATCTTCAGGCAAAGGTTGGAAAGGGTTTGAGGTGAGGTCTTCACTACATTTTTTACCTGGACACACTGTGTAGCCATACCCAGGAGGGTATCTCCAACACGTTTCACCTCCGCTACAAAAATAAGTTTATTAATTAATTTTAAAATGTTGATATATTCTCCTGATTACTAAAAGTAGAGGGGAACACCCCCACACACACATTAACATTTACAGAGTGCCAACTATATACTGTACGTTGTGCTAGATGCTTTTCCTGTGTGTCCTTTCATCTGCTAAACCCCCAGGGCAATTTTTTTGAGTTTGGAAGGCTCTCTCCCTACCCTTTTCTTCCCTCCTGCAGGCTTTGAAGCCAGTCCACTTCCTTTATTCTACCATGCAGCCTGCCACCACTCACCACTCACTCAAGTCCCTTGAGGTTCCTTTTCCAACAGGACTGGTCTGGCAAAGAAATCAATCTCCCCAGCTCCTCCCTCTCAGTACACACACCAGCCCTTTGAATTCTAATGGATTTTTTTTTCCTTCCTTCCCCTCCTCCGCCAAACACTACAGATAAAGAGAAGCTAATAAAAGAAACAAATAGAGAGAGGGTTGAAGGCATTTTACAAAGTTCAAATGGTTGGTCTACATAGTTTCCAAATCCTTCACTTAGATGATAGCCAAAAGAACTTTGTATCATTCTTCTTATAAGAGATACAAACTAAGCATCTCCTATTCTGGAAGTGGTAGGCTCCCCCCACTCTGATATTCCTAAATGCTTTTCACCCGACATTCCAGTTCTCCCCGTTTTGGGGACTATGGTAAAATGGCACTACCCTCATTACCACTGCATTTCCTGCCCACCATCCCACTTCCCCCACAGAGGTTGAGTGGGCCATATAGCTGGTTGTGACCAAGAAATTGCAGAAGTTAAGAACCCTCCAGGCTCTTTTCTCTCTGCCATGGAGCCAGCAACATTCCAAAGAGTGACTGGGTTCCGGAGTGAAAATGATATGATGACATGGAGCAGAGGCTGCAGTCCACCCTCAATGGACACATAGCAAAAGCAAAAAATAAAACTTTGTTGCTTTGAGCCACTGAGAGTTTGGGATTGTCTGTGACTGCAGCATAACCTAGTTTATCCTGACTGCTACAACTACTACTTGAAATCATCCCTCATCCAACATTAAAGGGGTCCATACCATATACTGGCGTCTTCCCAGGCAAGATAACCACTATCAGCTGTAGGCCCACATATGTCATTTTCAGGTGTTTAAACATGGGCTCCACGCTGTCTGCACCTTGTGCATACTTGCAAAAACATGGCTGACCCTGGATGGGCATTCCTGCATCCTTAGAGATTTTACGGAGCTGGTCAGTGAAACTCCTGTTAAAATAGAACCGGTGGCACAGTGCTTTCATTTCAGGGCACATTCTTAGCATGTATTTCCCTCTAAGATATTTCTTTCAGTTCGGTAAATTCTTAGCCAAATTTAGAAACAAATAAACAAACAAACAAAAAAACTCCCTCTTTAACTGGTTGCCAAAAATAGCCTGGAAGTTGTATCACTGTAATTAGAAGGCAGAAGACTCTGTATTATTAAACTATCAGATTATCATTTCGAATTTTTAAATAATTGTGCCTCAGCTGGGCCTCAGGGCCTAGAATAGCATTCCTGTTCAAAGATCTTTTTAAACCTTCAAGTCAGTAATTCCAGGCCGAAGAAAAAAGCAAGGTCAAAATTTCAGGTAACGTGTATTTTGGTAAGCCAGGTACAAGAATAGTTGGGTAAGCTTGTGTTCAACTGAGAACACAGAAACACACTGTCACAAAATCACCATATTTAGGATGACATTCAAACTTGTAATAGATTTGATTCAAGAACAATGTCAAAAGAAATCATCCCTTTAAGAAAAAGCAAAACTCATGGTCAAGTTTTAAATTTTGGATTTGTAGAAAGCTTTCAGAATGATTTGTTTTCTGCATTTGCCAATGTTTTGTAGGATTCCTTTCTTTCACCCCAGTTCCCTTTTCCTATAGTGATTTTTCCACCCTTTTCACTAACTTCCTGTATATAGATAACTGCATCTGTAAGATGCGAACCAATGATCTTACTCAGTGACCCTGCAGTAAAACAAGCTCTCTAGTACACTGTAATGATTAAAAATGAACTAGTTTTTATCTTAGCTGAAAAGATACAATTAACCCCAAAGGAAGCTTCTCTAAGAACTCAAGGATTTGCCAATCGGCACTGCTTCAGCCTTGTTAGTCACAAATTTCTGCTCTAAATGTAGGAAGCTGAGTCAGATTCTTAACATAATTCCCAAGTCTGCGATTTACTATAAGAACAAGGTCTTTTTCCTATAGCCAGATGGTGTCACTATAGGAGTCTGGGATTCAGTGCCAGTGTACACAGCACATTCACATAAAGATGATATTTTCATATCTGGAAGGGATATTACTAAGCTGAAAATATGAAGATACTCACTTTAGTAAATCTTCCCTACATTGTTTCTGAGGCGCAAAACAAGCAACTGCCCAAACTTTAATTTCAATGCCAGCATAAAACTGCTTTCCTCGCATGTCCCAGACACCCTGGTTGGGTGTGGCTACCGTTTTATTCTTTAAAAAAAAAAAACACAAAAAAAGAAACAAAAGAAAAGAGAAAAGACATTACAATCTAAGGCCATTTTAAAGTTGATGAGGGGATAAACAAAACTCTATTTGATATTAGCCAAAAGACAAAAAGCAGTAATGAGCAAAGCTATGAGTAAATTCAGTGTGGTGTAGTGGAAAAACCCTGGATTCATCCCTTTTTGATTGGTTGTTGGAAGAAGCTTGCTGAATAAAATAAAAAGCTTACCCGGCCTCCGTATTGCAGCATTGGTGCTGGAAGTACCCTGCCTGTGAGCTCAGTCATTTCATTGTGGACAACAATACCAAATTCTTTAAGATATGGATCAGGTCCGCCCACCATGCTGTTACTCTTCACCTAAAGAACAGGAAAGCCTGCATATATAAAAACCAAAGAGTAACTGTGCCCCATCAGGCATTTTCTATTGTTTTTTTTTTTTGTTTTTTGTGTTTTGTTTTTTTCCCATCTGAAAGCTAGCTTATCTTAAAGACCATGCCTTACTGACCAGTCTACTGATTTCTTCTTGTCTGTCAGGAGCAGATCTTGCTGTGGCTTTGATCATCGTGGAAGTCTGATTGTCTGTGAGCTTCTTTATACATCGTTGTCCTGCCACTATATTACAAACCTACCAAGAGGCAAAGAGGAATTAGTTTGTGTAATGGGCTTCTACATCTTAAGCCTTTGCTGAACTGTACCTTACATCTTCCATTTCCAAAAAACTGAAAATCCTGTTATATGGTGAAGTTATCTGTCCAAAGTATTTTAGAGATTAATATTAAATTCTATCACTAGTTTAGAACATTTCTTTTTTAAAAAACACATTCAAGAGATTGGCAGATTGGCAAAAGAAAATTTAGTTTAGCTTACCTCAAGCGGCAAGTATGTATGCTTTTGTTCTTGTCCCACCTGGAGACAGGGAAGATGGGGGTATTTCAGTTGCAGACTATACTTTTGCTTAAAATATTGAGCTACTGTACATTCCATTGCTTGCCCATTTTCTAGCTGTAAGGGAAAACTATAAAAGAGAATGTCTTTTTAGAAATTTCTTCAAGTTCTTTGTGTTTTTTTTCAAATAAGCAAACAAACAAAAGCCTACTAACATTTTCTACCTTGACCAGTCACTTAAAAAAAAAGGTCAATCTTTATTTGGCCATTTTCACTTAAGCCATTTTAGGGTTTAATCAGGATAGCGATTTTGTTGGAATTTTACATGTTTGTTTGTTGAAGCTAAGATGAGAAAAATTTTAATTAAAACGGAAAAAGAATTTAAATCAAGAAGAAGCCGCAGAACCAGAAAATACACAGACTTACTAGAGAGGTCAGTTAACACCTACAGATACAAATACAATCTCTTGCTGGCTTCTTAGAGATGAGTAAATTCAAATAAGGTCCTGGGTCATCCACAGATGATAACTTAAGATAACTTTTGATAAAATGAATGTAGCACAGTTACTGGGGCCACATCTTCAGATCCCCAAACCAGGACAAACATATGTGGATTTGGAGGCCACAAGACCAGATACATGAACTTGAGACTGTGTCAAGATATTTGGTATAAACTGGGGAGCATGATTTAAGAGACTCTCTTGATTTCGCTCTTCCAGTGGACAAATTATCTCAAACACTTGGCACAATAATTACTTTAATCTTGCTTTCTTAGCTGTTAATGGCCCACAAAGTAATAATGCAGTGAGGATCACGTATGTGATATTTAAATCTATGTGCTTTTAATTTTCATGCAAAGATTATATAGTTCTATAAGTATAGTTATTCTTACAGGGTACTGTGAAGTAATTAAATAATGAGAAAGATAGTTCCTTTTGAAACACATGCTATAATTCTCAACAGTGACTTCATTTTTTTCCTTAGAGAATGAAGTCAATGGTATAACATGAAGAGTATACGGAACACCACTTTACAAGTCAAGAAATTCATGTGATGTGTACATGAGTTCATACTGAAGAATTTATTCAAATCAGACTGAATTTATATACTACATTTATCCAGAGGCCACCCCCAAATTTCAGTTATCTAGAACAAAGCGCTCCAGGTGATTTTGATGTACACTTGTTTGAAAAAGTCTTCTGAGTGAGGAAAATAATGTAAAGTTAATATAGTTAAGTTTATGCTCTTTACTTAGAAAAGCCAATATTCATATTTATGTCAGACATGAGTTTAATGATCTTGATTACAAGAATAAAACTTACATATATGGTAATTTTAAAAGCACTTTAATATATATTTTCTCATTAGGTATAGCTCACAGTGGACTAGAAGCTGGGTGATTAGAAAACTGAGATTGCGTAAGCATAAATGAATGTGCTGCTGGAGGCATACCATACACACTGACAGCTGGAAGAAGTGACAGCTAGCTACAAAAGTGGGGAGAAAAATCCACATAAAGCACAAAGCAATATGTATCTTCGCATGACAGCTTTTACGACTTACAGGCCTTAATAGATCCTTCAGGCCATGCATTGAGAATTACAACACTATAATAAATGATGTTCATAATGATGACTCTGCATCATTATATAAAAGTTGATCTATGTTTAGCATACTCTGTTTAATAGGTGAAATGACTTCCCTGGTGGCACAGTGGATAAGACTCTGTGCTCCCAATGCAGGGGGCCCAGCTTCGATCCTTGGTTAGGGAACTAGATCCCACATGCATGCCACAGCTAAGAGTTCACAGGCCACAACTAAGGAGCCCGTGTGCCGCAACTAAAGAAGCCGGCGAGCTGCAACTAAGACCCGGTGCAACCAAATAGAGAAATAAATATTTTTTTAAAAAGAGAAAGAAAAACTGGCTGGATCATAATTACATTTACAAAAAAAAAAAAAAGAGGTGAAATGAATTAAAGGCATGAAATATGTTTTATAAATATTTCTATCAAAAATATTTAAAACATTTTCTATTTTTTTATTTTTATTTTTTATTTTTTTGACCTCGCTGTGTGTGGCATGTGGCATGCAGGATCTTAGTTCCTTGACCAGAGATTGAACCTGAGATCCCTGCAGTGGAAGCGTGGAGTCTTAACCAATGGACCACCAGGGAAGTCCCTTAAAACATTTTTAAAGCTTCGGTGCTTTAAAGTGAAGATCTAGGTGATTTTTTAAATTACAATAGGGGATACCAATTTCTCAAATTATTATAGTAGCTTCCTTTGTTACAAAAAATATAATGGTACAATTTTAGATGTGGTTAACATACGTCTGATGACTGGCTGGCCGTCTAGTCACATTACACACTCGATATTTTCGTTTCATCTGTCCACAGTGGGTCACCTCAACTTTAAGACCTGAAGTCAAAACAGTCAAAAGAGCAGTATTAATTAAAATCACAGTGACAAGAAAATACTCGAAGGTTGTCTTCAGAAAGGCATAGCATTGTATAGGACAAAAGTTGCAAGGATATGGGAACAATTTCATCATGCATAGGCAAAAAAGCCTCAGCCAAGCAGAAAAAATTAGAACCCAGACGACTTAAGACTTGCAACCTACTTTGATGTATTACTTCATTCAATAAGTATCTATCAAGCATCAACTATGTTTTGGTGCTTATTCTTGGGTCTGGAGATAGCCCTAATGAAGCTTATGGTATAATGAGAGAAGATAGCTAACAACGGGTAAAGAAGCAAAGAAATTCTGAGAATAAATGAACTTGTGTTATTTTATTAAAATGGAAGTTTTCAAGTAAGTAAAAGTAACAGTTACTAAGTTCCTGACATGTGCCAGGTACTGAGCTACTGTATAAAGAAGCTTTATACACTTAGTTGCATTTAATTCTCACAACAATCTTACAAGATACACATTATCTTTATCTTAGAGATGAATAAACTAAGGCTCACAGTGGTTAAATAACTTGCCCAAAGTCCCAATGATAGAACTGGCAGGAATGGGATGGAAGCCCCGGTGTGTCTGACTGCAAGACCGTGCTCCTTGCACCATGCTGAGCTGCCTCTCCAAGACCACAGTAATGCAAATACCTACCTCTGATTTCTTTGGTAAACTTGACACGCTGGGAGTCTGTTAGGGGTTTGGTCTGTTCATTGATGTTCTGAATGTCTAAAACCTCACACATGAACTCAATGATAGGCTGAGCCCGGTAGAAAGCAGTTGCAGATACTAACAAACAGAGAAGGATACTTAGCTTCAGGGAAAGAGGAAAGACAAAAAAACCAGCCAAAAGAGTAAAGGGTAAAGAGAGTTCCATCTTACCATCAATATTCAGCATCATATTCCACATGGCAGGTCTCACAGACTGATGAAAGCCAAACCAAACCTCCCTGCCCCCTCCCAGAGGGTGATAGTAACCTTCAGGAGGTGAGAAAAAGGAGCGACCCACTGGAGTGTACCTGAAGAAACAAGAGTTTGCATGTTTCGCAGTAAAAACTTGAGTCTTTCATTTCACTCTCAATTTTGCAAACTGAAACCAAGTTTGAACTATGACTTGTGCAGAAACCTTTCAATGTCTCCAATGCAACCTAGCAAAAAAAGTCTGACATTTGTGGCAAAGAATTCAAACTAACCTCATGGAGGGAAGGTGTCTTGTGATAACATCAAGTGCTTGAACTGAGTCATCTGGGACTTCATTCAAGTGCCCGGCCAAAGCTTCTAAAAGCAACTGAAGGCTCACAACTGATACCCACTGAACAGACACTTTAAAGGTCTGGTCTTTACCCTCACCTGGAAGGGTCACTTCCATATCAACCTAAGGAAAAATACATAAAATACATACACATACATATTTACAAAGGCTGAGACATCCCAGGAATATTCATATAGTATATGCATAAGGATGTTTAACACTTTCTGTAATTGCAAAACACTGGAAACAACCTATGTTCCATCAGTAGGGGAATAATTTAATATTGAATATTATGTAATAGTTAAAAATAAGGTAGATGCTACAACATGGATGAACCTTGAAAACACTATGCTAAGTGAAATAAATAGCCAGACATAAAATGACAAATACTATATGATTCCACTTATATGAGGTACCTAGAATAGTTAAATTCATAAATACAGAAAGTAGAATAGTGGTTACCAGGGGTAGGGGAGGAGAAAATGGGGAGTTATTGTTTAATGGGCACAGAGTTTGAGTTTGGGATGATGAAAAGTTCTAGAGATGGCTAGCGGTCACAGTTGCATAACAATGTGAATATATTTAATGCCACTGAATTGTACACTTAAAAATGGTTAAAATAGTAAATTTTATGTTATATATATTTTACCACAATAAAAAAATTGAATTAAAAAAATAAGGTAGGGCTTCCCTGGTGGCGCAGTGGTTGAGAGTCCGCCTGCCAATGCACGGGACACAGGTTCGTGCCCCGGTCTGGGAAGATCCCACATGCCGCGGAGCGGCTAGGCCCGTGAGCCATGGCCGCTGAGCCTGCGCGTCCGGAGCCTGTGCTCCGCAATGGGAGAGGCCACAACAGCGAGAGGCCCGCGTAACGCAAAAAAAAAAAAAAAAAAAAAATAAGGTAGACTTAAATGTACAGAAATGGAAAGATCTCCCAGACATATTGTTAAATGAAAAAATAAATCATAGAACAATATCAAACAAATAAGAATATATATAGGGACTTCCCTGGTGGCGCAGTGGTTAAGAATCCGCCTGCCAATGCAGGGGGCACGGGTTCAAGCCCTGGTCCGGGAAGACCCCACATGCCACGGAGCAACTAAGCCCATGCGCCACAACTACTGAGCCTGCACTCTAGAGTCTGCAAGCCACAACTACTGAGCCCGAGTGCCACAACTACTGAAGCCCACATGCCTAGAGCCCATGCTCCGCAACAAGAGAAGCCACCACAATGAGAAGCCCACGCACCGAAACGAAGAGTAGTCCCAGCTCACTGCAACTAGAGAAAGCCCGCGCGCAACCAAAAATATAAATAAATAAATAACTTTATTTAAAAAAATAAGAATATACATAAATATGCATAAATAGCTAAGGCACAAAAAAATATATGAAAGGATATATACTGAACTATTATAGCAATTTCCTCTGAAAGTGAAAATGGGATTGAGGGTACAGGCAAGTTGGGAGGCGGGAAACCATAGCATTTCTAGATTGTCTGAATAAGGTTATAATGAGTATATATTTATGTATTGCTTTTAAATTTTTAAAACAAATGTCTTAAGTTATTGTGGTATTAAAACTATTTTCATAAGTGGGTGTTATATAATATTCTACAAGTTGGCAGGCAGATTCTACAAGTTATAAAAATTCCACTCTTCAGATTCAGGTGGCACTTTAACACTGTGAGAAATCTGGAATATATGTAAAGGTGACAAAATCAACCTAAATTCTAATGCTCAGTTATTGGTTAACTAAGGGACAAGAGAATATGGACAGAATAACAAATCTATCGTCAGCATGAGAAACAACTTTAAGCGTTGAATTGTTATTAGAAAGGGAAACACTGTTGTCCTATGTAATTACTACTAAATGACATAAGTCTAATCAATATTTCTTGCCGTTAACACTTACCCTCTCCCGTCCAATTGGCAGTGGATGTGCTGTGTACATGTTTCTTTTGCCATCATAGCCAGGCTGCCGATCACCAAATACCTGCATCTTGAAGTGCCGCACCATTGTATCTACTACGTCCCTTAACAGTAATGGAGATAGTGTAGGTTAGCTCTGAGAAGCGGTGGTGAACAGTAAGGAAACCATCACCATACCATAATCATCTAAATTCAGTTCAAACCTCCTTGGAAAAAGTAAGAGTTAAACTTACAACTGACTCAAGTAATTAGAAAAATAGTTAACTAAAGAAAGGTAGGCAAGTGAACAAAAGCAATCATGAGATGACAACAGAAAGGAGGGAATAAAAGGAAAAAGAGAATAAACTTTATAGCATCCTCTCAAATTCTTGCTTTCCAAAATCCTCTCCTCTGATAAATAGAGCCTTATAAGAATAACCTGTCTTAGGTATCTAAGTTTGGCATGTTCATCACTGAACAATGATAAGTGTGTTATCAAATAAGCATCCTTATTCAAGTATACTGGTTTTGGAAAAGAGAGTGAGCAGAATTCAGAAATCTGGGGATCAATAAATCTAAGATGCATCAAAATCAAAGGACTAAGTCAACCCCTTTGATAATGCTAGAAATTTATTATTCTTCATACTGTCTTGTTATATTCCAAACTGCTTCCAAGCAGTATAGAAAAGGGAATGTCGTAAAATGTCCTCATTCTGTAAAGATTACCAATGTAGTTTCTTTCTGTTTAGAAAGAAAGCCTTTCTCTCAATAGAGCATGAATAGCTTTATTTAAATGTTTCTGCATATATGCCGGATCACACTGTATGCAGGCTCTGAAACAAATGCAGCTGTGGGGGAAGCAGAGTTTACAGCTTAAGATGGACAGATCCGGGTCTGTGCAATTTTGGAATGCTAGCGTCAATGAAAAGTCAGGTGCTATGTCTTACCAACATTAGTGAGCCCCATGTAGGGGAACTGTACCTTAAAATACATCACAACAAAGTTCTTTATCAAATAAATATACCCATGTTTCTATCAAAAAAAAATACATCACAACTAGCTAAGGCATTAATATTACTACAAATGAAATCTGTGGGAAAGTCATATGTTTTCAAACCAAATCATGCAACTGAAAAAAACTGATGGAGAAATATAGTCTCATACATTCCCAATTTTAAAAAGCTGACTTAAGAACAGTATATTTGGGGCTTCCCTGATGGCGCAGTGGTTGAGAGTCTGCCTGCCAATGTAGGGGAACGGGTTCGAGCCCTGGTCTGGGAAGATCCCACATGCCGCGAAGCAACTGGACCTGTGAGCCACAACTACTGAGCCTGCGCGTCTGGATCCTGTGGTCCGCAACAAGAGAGGCCGCGACAGTGAGAGGCCCGCGCACCGCGATGAAGAGTGGCCCACACTCGCCGCAACTAGAGAAAGCCCTCGCACAGAAACAAAGACCCAATATATATATTAGGCTGTTGTTAACTGACAAGAGGCTTGTGCTTATTTATAAAAAAAAAAAAAAAAGAGAGAACAGTATATTTTCAGACTGGAAGGGTAATCTCTTATCTTACTTTCTTAAAATGTAACCATAAAGTTTTACAGTAAAAAACATATTTTCACCTCTATTCTCATTTAACCTTCAAAACAACCTTGTGAGACAAGCAGGGCAATAATTATTGAATTCAGAATGGGCAAGTAAACTGCCCCTGATCACACAATGATTAAGTGGCAGAGCTGTATGACGTTGGACAAGTTACTTAATCTCTCACATCTGTTTCTTCATTTGTAAAATTATGGTAATCATAACACCCACCACAAAAGTTGTCATATTAAGTGAATAAATAGACAGAATATTTAGAACAGTGCTTGTCATGCAATAAGCCTACTGCTTGCAGGACATTTGGTCCTGTCCAAAACATTCATAAGACATTTGGTCCATCCTAAAAGGTCCTTGATATTTGGTCATATTTGGTCCTGTCCAAAATGTCCATGGAGACATTTGGTCCACACCAAAAGGTCCTTGATATTCACTTCTGTCCAAAACAAAAATTTGGCATGGGCCAAATACGCTCATGGACGTTTTGAATAGGACCAAATTTCAGGGACCTTTTGACTTAGACCAAATGTCTTGTGGATGCTCTGGACAAGACTAAACGGCTGCTGACTAGCCTACTTAACTCTGGTATGCTCAAGGATAACACTCCAGGAATCTTCCTCTCTCCTGAATCATCAAATTTTTCCACTCTACTGAATTACTGCCTTCAGCAAATAAATATGCTATAATTTCTTCATCTTAAAAAAAATGTGAAATTTCCTGATCCCACTTCCTCCTCGTCTGAACATTCCATTTCTCTGCTCCCCATTGCATCAAAATCCCTTGACAGAGATGTCTCTAATTGCTCTTCTCCTTTCTCTCTTCAATCTTCTCTAGTGAGGCTTTTCCTCCACCAAAGCTACTCTTATCAAGGTCCCCAGTGAGCTCCACATTGCGAAATTCAATGCTCCTCGAACATTAGACGATCAATTCTTTCAGCTTAAAACATCTTCTTCCCTTGCCTCCTCACTCTGCCCTGGTTATCTCTCATCCCAGTGGCCTCTCCATGCCAGTCTCCCTGCTGATTCTTCCTCATCTCCCCATTTGTAAGTATTGAGTTACCTCAGGACTCAGTTTTGAAATCTTATGTTCTTTAACCACACTCACTTCCTACATGATCTCACCCGGTCTCATGGCTTTACCACCAATATGCTGATGACTTTCAAATGTTTGTCTCCAGCCTGGACTTTTCTGCTCAGTCCAACCTCATGTATCCAACTTCCTGCTCAACATCTTCACTGGGATGTCCAATAGACATCTCAATCCTAACATGGCCAAAAAACAGATCTCCTGATCTGTCAACCCTGTTGGCCTCTCCCATAGTTTTTCCCATCCCGATAAATGGCAACTCCATCTTTCCATCCACTCAGGACAAAAACCCTGGAATCAATGATGATTCATTTCTTTCATACCTCCTGTTCAATCCATCAACAAATCTTGCTGACACTACCTTTAAAATATTTGTAGTCTCTGACCAGTTGTTTTTTTGGTTTTTTGGGGGGTTTTTTTTGCGGTACGCGGGACTCTCACTGTGTGGCCTCTCCCATTGCGGAGCACAGGCTCCGGACGCGCCGGCTCAGCGGCCATGGCTCACGGGCCCAGCCGTTCTGCGGCATGTGGGATCTTCCCGGACCGGGGAACGAACCCATGTCCCCTGCATCGGCAGGCGGACTCTCAACCACTGCGTCACCAGGGAAGCCCTCTGACCAGTTTTTATCACTATCACTTTTACTACCCAAGTTCAAGCCACCATCATTTTTCACCGGAATCATTACACATGCCTCCTAATTGATTTCCTTGCTTTTCACCCTTACCTGCTAGGGTTCGTTTTCAACACAGCAGCCAAAACGACCCATTAAAAATCTAAGTTAGTCATATCAAATGTCTACTCAAAACCCATCTAATCAGAGTAAACACTAAAGTTCTATGACCACCTACAAGACTCTGCATGATAGGGCCCTTAGGAGTTTCTCTACCACTCTCTCCCTCACTCACTCCAGCAATACAGGCTTTATCTGCTATTCCTTGAATATACCATGCAAGCTGCTGCCTCTGCCTGGGACTCTCGTCATGTAGATATCCCTCACCTCCTCTAGATTTCTCCTCAAATGTCACTTTTCAGTGAGCTCTTCCCTAACTATACTATTAAAATATTACATTATGTGTGTGCGCATACCCATATATATACACACACGTGCGTTCACACATCTTACATAATATATATGTAACATATACACAAAATATATACGTATTTACAGTATACATAAATACTACATAGACTATATGTATGTGTGTGTGTATATATATATATATATATATATATATAGATGTAAAATCAGTGGCCCATCCTCCATCCCTATCTTCCATCCCTCTTTTATTTTTCTTCACAACAGTTATCATCAACTAACAAATAATATGTTTTCTTTGCTTATTCATTTATTTTTGGACTTTTCCCCCATTAGAATATAAGTTCCTCAAGGGTAGGAACTTTTGCCTGTTTGTTCATGTTGTATTCCCAGAACACAGAACAATACCTGATACACAGTGAGCACCCAACAGAATATATGTCAAATGGATCAATATTAGCCGTTGCCACCGCTTCTGTTATTATTGATTTCAGTTATACAACAGCCAAACAATTAAGGGCTTGCATGAGACTGAACTATACCAGAAAGCCAAATAATTGATCTATAATGAGAAAAAAAAAAACCAAGCCACAAAGAAATACTTCACTTTACAGCAAAAGCATCCTTGGAAAGGCAAGAACTATAATATTAAGGACTGCCTGAGTATCACAGCGTGAAAACAGAGAAAAGTAAATTGGGTGATCTCAGCACACTGTAAAAATACCTGCTATAGGGCTATATTCACTATTGGTAAATTCCTGTCATACAGACAACAATGCTTAAGTCATCTTATCTAGACCCCTCCTGGATAATGCTAGAATTAAACAGAGCTTCTCAGTTTATGTTCTTCAATACCCCAAGATGATTCTTCTGTCTTTACACTTATATTTTTCTCATGTCCAATACCAACACATGATAATAAAATTTGAATTTCCACATAGTTCTATTTTCCATAGACACCAGTGGCTTCACCTATTTTTACAAATTTCTGCTACCTTTGGACAGTGAAAGAGTGACCGTTCTTCTTCATTCATTAAGTATTTACTGACTGAACAATGATGTATCCTGCATTCTGCTAGAATCTGTGGAGGACAACCAAGTATGAGACAGCAAACCTGCTATCAAGAAACTTAACATCTTAGAGAAAAAAAAAAGCCTACATGTTAAAAGAGTTTAGAGAACAATACGATTCATGATAAATAAATTACATGTATTTAAATGTATAAGAGGGGACGAGGGGAAGATGGCAGAAGAGTAAGACGCGGAGATCACCTTCCTCCCAACAGATACACCAGAAATACATCTACACGTGGAACAACTCCTACAGAAAGAACACCTACTGAACGCTAGCAGAAGACCTCAGACCTCCCCAAAGGCAAGAAACTCCCCACGTACCTGGGTAGGG